CCTGGCCGTGGCCTTGGCACATGGCTCCCGTGTGGGGAGGCGCAGGGCGGAGGGCGAGGGGGAGGGCTTGGCTCAGGCCCTGGCTCCCTCCTCTCACTGCTCTGCGGGCAGGGGCTGCCAGGTGGGTCGCTTCTTCTGTCCTCTGTCCTGTGAGGTGACCTTGCTCGCTGCCTCTGAGTCCGGAGGAGCCAGCCGGGTGGGGAAGGCGATGGCGCAGGGCCCAGGATGCTGGTTGGGGCCCTGGCTCTCTGGGAACCGTGTCACTGGAGCTCAGCTTAGGGAGCTGCGCTTCCCTTTGCCTGGGAAGCAGGTGGGTGGCCCGCACCCGCTCAGGTGTGCGTCAGCTGCCCTGGTGGTTCCAGGGGGTGAGGCTCACAGCACCCCCCCGGCCTGTGGGCACGCACTCCCCACAGCCATCCTGGGCCGGGAGCAGGCATGACTGTGTGGGGCCCTGAGCCCCCTGAAAGCCAGCCAGGGCTTATCTTTAGGAAGGTGGGGTGAGCTGTGCGTTTGTCTGCCCCTCCCTCTGGAGGAAATGAGGTCGGATCTCTAAAGGGATGGGGCTCTTGCTGTTTGGGGGTGGGGTGGTGGTGAGGGGGGAGAGTGAGCCGGTGAACTCAGGTTAAACAGCCGTGCTGGCTCCGCTGCTGGCTGCTGGCTCCGCTGCTCTTCCCACCTCACGCCTCCCCTCCCTCTCCCCTCCTTTCCATCACCCCTTGCCATTTTTACTTTCGCTGCATAGCAGTGTCTTCACTCTGATCTGATTCGTCTTTCAAATGGGGCTGAGTTTGTCTAGAAGGCACTAGAGCATTTTCCTAGGGGCTTTACATTATAAACATTACCTTTATTTTTATTTTTTTACAGAGAAGAAGGGAGAGGGATAGAAGGTTAGAAACACTGAAGAGAGAGAAACATCAATCAGCTGCCTCCTGCACCTCCCCCCGACTCCCCACTTGGGATGTACCCACAACCAAGGTACATGTCCTTGACCAGAATCAAACCTGGGATGTTTTTGTCCGCAGGCCGACGCTCTATCCACTGAGCCACATCGGTTTCGGCTGTGTGTAATTTTTTAAATCAAGAAGTTGGCTTAAGCCCGGCTGGCATGGCTCAGTGCTTGAGTGTCAACCTATGAACCAGGTCACGGTTCGATTCCCTTTCAGGGCACATGCCTGGGTTGTGGGCTCCATCCCCAGGGTGGGGCGTGCAGGAGGCAGTCGATCGATGATTCTCTCTCACCGTTGATGTTTCTCTCTCTCTCTCTCTCTCTCTCTCTCTCTCTCCCTCCCTCCCTCCCTCCCTCCCTCCCTCCCTCCCTCCCTCCCTCCCCCTCTCCCTTCCTCTCTGAAATCAATAAAAAAGATATATATATATATATATATATATATATATATATATATATATATATTTAAAGAGGTTGGCTTAAGTTTCATAACTACCAATTATTGTGTCCCTACTATGTGCCAGCTGCTTTTCCAACAATCTTAGATGGAAGGTGGCAGCATACTTGTCGTGGATGCAGAATCGGAAGGTTAGCAAGGCTAAAAGACTTGCACGAGGTAGAGTAGCTGGCAGAGCAGAGGATTTGAACCTAGGCCAGCCTAGCCACAAAGCTGCCACAGTGCCCGGCCATCCAGCTCGTTATCCAACTCTGGCCTCGCTGAAGAAAACATGCTGCTAGTTTTTATTTTGAGAATGAATGGGAAGGGAGTTGGAACACCATGTGCTTGGCTCTCTGCTGACTGACACAGTGTCTAGATAACGTTTCTGAGAACTGTCTTCCAGATAGAGCTAATCGCAGCTCACCCTTGTCTTCCTTTTCGTTGCTTTTGGAATCATCGTAGGTTTCCCTTTCTTGTGTTTTGTATGTTAAAAACAAAGCTGGTGTTTTTGCTGATAAAAGCACAGCTTCAGTGTAGAACAGACAGGGTCTACAGAAAGAAAACGTTGTCCTGAGCCGCACACCCGCTTCTGGGGGAGAACGTGGGTGTTGGAGCTGGAAAGCGGGGTGCGCACCCTGCTCTGCCACCTGGGATTGAGTGACCCTGAGCTGGCCCTTCGCTTCTGTGCCTCGCTCCTCGTCTCTGAAGTGGAAACGAGCGCCCTGGGGTGTCGTTAAGATGAAATGATACAGAGGTTCCAAAGGTGACGAGGAGGCGAGTAGCATTTAAAATATATATATCTATTTTATTGATTTTTTTACAGAGAGGAAGGGAGAGAGATAGTTAGAAACATCCACCCCTCAGCATGGGCTGTGTCCTGTATGCAGACTCGGCGGAGCTGGCTGCCTATTGCTCCAGGCGGCATGAGAGTGATGGGAGGGAGGCAGAGTTCAGGGCTAACAGCCCTGGCGGGAGAGACCTTTTAAAAGGTTTATGACTTTAATGGGATTTCCTGCAGCCTAATCCTGGGTGTTTGAACCCTGGCGTTTTAAGCAGAGCGAATGGGCCTCCGAGGAGCTGGCTGCCTTCCAAGCTGCTGTTGGTGACAATCATGGCCGGCCATTTGCCTGTGGCATTTAAGCGGAGGCCTTGCTTCTTTACTCGGATGTAGGGAATAGGGCATCTCTGAGAAAGGATGTAACACCTACCACCCTCTTCAGGGTGGTAAGCCCGCCAATGATATGGTGGTGCCGGTGTGATGGAATGGCATCGGGGCTTAAAAAAGAGCCACAATGTATGTATTGCACATGAAAAAAAAAAAAAAAAAAAAAAAAAAAAAAAAAAAAGGGAAATCACACGTTTATTCCACAGCTGTAAAGCTGGGAGCATCAGTTCCTCTCTGCAGTATTTCCCAGGGTGCTTTGCAATGTTCCCTTCGGACACCTTGCCTGTGAGGAAGGTTAAGGAGCAGTGTCCCCCTTGGGCTGAGGGAGATACCCGGACAATGGGAGGTCCGTTGACTCGCCTTGGGCTCTGGAGCGAGGCTGGGTCAGGCAGAATGGCTCCTGCTTTCCGCTCTGAGCCAGGGCTGTCTCGGGGAAGTGCTCAGGAGAGGCAAGAAAAGATGGGGCATCTGCTTAGCCATGTTCTCGGGAGTTCTGTTTTGGGGGGCTCCCGAGGCAGAGAGAGCTGGACAATTTAAAAGTCTAGATCCAGGCCCTAGCTGGTTTGGCTCAGTGGATAGAGCATTGGCCCGTGGACTGAAGGGCCTGAGAACTGTCTTCCAGATAGAGCTGATCGCAATTAGTAAATACAATTGTAAATATAATCCCCTTGACCAGTTTTGGGCTCGATCCCCAGAGGGGCCATGCAGGAGGCAGCCGATCAATGATTCTCTCTCATTATTGATGTTCCTCTCTCTCTCTTCCTCTCTGAAATCAATAAAATATATTAAAAAGAAAAAAAAAAAGTCTAGGTCCAGGATCTTTGACCTACAAGCTGCTTTGCTGCCATGAGCTAAGCTGGAGGGAGTGATGGATGGCAGAAGCAAATTATTTTTGGCTCCATGGCTCAGTCTTGGCAGGAGGCCCTTTAAATTTGAAATGTAAACCTGAGGGCTCCAAAGGTTTGGGAAGCTGAGGTCATTTTCTCCCTGCAGGTCCCATGCCGGCCTGTTCTGTGGAGGGGTTACCCATTACACCAGGGCGTGCTCTGCTAGGGGCTCTCTACAATGAAGTGCTCATATAGTATGGCAACCTATGTAATAAGGCTATAGGGAGGGCTTCTAACATGGAGGGTCCCTGCATCTCTCCCACCCACCCCTCTATACACACACACACACACACACACACACACACACACACACACACGAAAGCTTGATCCTCACCACAAAACCAGGTTGGTGCTGTTGGAGGCATGGTCTTAGGTCAGAAGTGAGTATACCAATGTTTCTGTTATTCTTCTGTCGTGCCTTTTTCTTTTTTGGTCAATCCTCCCCAGAGGATATTTTCCCATTGATGTTTTAGAGAGAGTGGAAGGGAGGAGGAGGGACAGAGAGAAACATCGATGTGAGAGAGACACATCAATTGGTCGCCTCCCACATAGGGCCCCAACCAGGGCTGGGGATCCAGTCTGCAACCAAGGTAGGTGCCCTTGACCAGGATGGAACCTGGGACCCTTTGGTCTGTAGGCTGAAGCTCTGCCCACTGAGCAAAACTGGCTAGGGCTATTTTTTTCCCCCCCTAAAATATATTTTATTGATTTTTTTCCAGAGAGGAAGGGAAAGGGATAGAGAATTAGAAACATGGATGAGAGAGAAACATCGATCAGCGGCCTCCTGCATGCCCCCTACTGGGGATGTGCCCGCAACCAAGGTATATACATGCCCTTTACCGGAATCGAACCTGGGACCCTTCTGTCTACAGGCCGACGCTCTATCCACTGAACAACACTGCTTAGGGCTACTAGGGCTGTTCTTATGTCTTGAATGTCCTTTTCCTCTAGCTCCTTGGAGGTCCACTCATCATTAGCTAAAACCCGCACAAGATTGCTGTGGGCTTAAAGAGTCCCTATCCTCTCCCCCCTTTCCCCCCCGCCCCCAGCTTTATTGAGGTACAGCTAATAAATACAAATTGTATATATGTTTTTAGAGGAGGGCAAGCTTTCTTAAGAGTAAGGAATGCATGGAACTTGAGGCAGCAAAAGTGATTTGAACCCACTTTACGGCTTATGTGTTGGTCCGAGGCTGGGGGGGCCTTCTTTTTGAGCATTGTCTTCTCAGCTGTAAGATGGGAGCACCACTGCCCCCCTTACCCACGGTGAGAGCTACCAGGCCATACTCACAGGGCCATCCACTGCACAGATGGAAACAGATTGGGTTGTGGTCCAGCGAGAGTTGGCCTATGGCCTGCAGATGAGCTGCCGCGGTGACTCTGGCACCCAGACCAGCCTCCTGGGCACCCGGATCTGTTTACCTTAGAACATGAGGTGGAGCCATCAAGGCTTGGACTGTGTCACCGGCCAGGGTGAGGGAACAGGGCCAGGCTGCCATGACCTTTATCTGTGTGTTTTGTCTGGAGCAGGGCTTCCCGGTCACCGCCCTCGTCCGGCTCCTCCCGGATGGAACCGGAAGACAAACACGGTGTGTGTGAAGACCTGGACTCAGAAGATACAGGAATGGGCTCCGATTTTGAGAACTCCGAGGACAGAGAAGGGGACCCAGATGAGAGAGAAATGGTTTCCCACGCACGAGACGCAGATGAGAGAGGGGACCACCCTGAGCAGGAGAGGGGCTCTAGCCCCTGGGAGGAGCGGGGACTGGCATCTGACGTCTGCACAGGTGAGGAGGATGCGGGGGTTTCCGTGGAAGTGGGGGCTCACATGTATGTCTGACTTCTCCCGAGGTGTAGCCAGGGGCAGCATTCTTGTGAGGGGGCTCACCAGAGGGACCAGTGAGCCGAACCCGTATGATTTCAAGCCTGAGGAACATCCTTCTCTCTCGTCCAGTGGGAGGTGGCTGTGCTGGTAAACGGGTGAGGAGGGAGTCACTGGTCCCGCACTTTACAGTATACAGAACACAGGTATGCACTGAGTGGCTAGATTATGATTATCTCTGAAGGCATATCCTATATAATAAAAGGCTAATATGGAAATTGTCCCCTTGACCAGGAGTTCGACCAGTAGGCAGGCCGGCCATCCACTCATGTCACTTCCTCCTGGCCAGGCCGGCCGGACCCCATCCATGCATGAATTCATGCACCGGGCCTCTAATCACACACACACACACACACACACACACACACACACACACACAAACATATGTGTATATATATGCGTAGATAGCTAGATATACTGAGTGGCCAGATTTTATGCGTTCAAAGATCATAATAATCTGGCCACTCAGTGTAAGTCAACACAAGAGAGAACACAGGAAACACGAGAACCCGTCACCGGAGGTTGGGAGAGTTAGACATGTTGCCACGAACAAAGGCTCAGTGAGCGCAGCCTGAGCAGAGTATTCAGGAGTTTACAGTTACCGTGATCGAGTTGGTTGGAGACAGCTCAGCTCAGTGGTAAGTGACTAATTCTCAGAGCACCAAGGCCTCTGCTCATCATTGCCGTGCTTTTCCTGACCTGGAAGCAGGCTCCATCCTTATTCAGTTCTGTCCTCGCACCTCCCTTACTTGATCCTGCTCTGTGCTTGCCTCGGGGACAGAAATGAGCGGTGACACCCATGGCCAGGGCTGTGAGATGGCAATCTTTCCCATGTCACTCATCCCAGGCCCAGCAGTGCACGCACGCACGCACGCACACGTTCTTGCATACCCAGTGACTGGGCATCAGCAGCCAGAGTCAGACAGGTGTGAGTGCTGGGCCAGCCTCCAGGCTGGGCTCAGCAGATCAGAGTCCTGTGCTCACTTCCCCTTTCCCCCTACATCTTCCTCTCCCCCTTACAGAGCAAAGCCCTGGAGTTGGGGGTTGTTTGGTATATTGTTCCACCGTAAGCTGTTCCAGAATGACCAGTCCCATGTTAAAAACCAGTCCCGTCCCCCTGGTGTGGCTCAGTGATTGAGTGTGGACCCACCAACCAGGAGGTCACCGTTCAATGACCGGCCAGGGCACATGCCTGGATTGCCAGCCGGATCCCCAGTAGGGGGCGTGCGGGAGGCAGGTGATGGGTGATTCCTTCATCATTGATATTCCTATCTCTCGATCCCTCTCCCATCCTCTCTCTGAAATCAATAAAAACATTAAAACACACATACACACACACACACAAAACCAACCCCAAAACAATCCAGATGGCCTTTTCTTGTGGTTGGCAGGAGTGGTCTTGTTTTGTGGGGCTAGGGCCTTGAAACGCGTGGGTTGCTCTTACAGTGAGCAAATCTCTTCTGAGCTCCAACCACGTCCCTCCCACCTGGCCCAGACTTGACCACCTCCTGGAGCCTCAGGGACAGTGGGTGGGGCCTGGGTTCAGAGACAGTTGCCTAGAACTGGTGAGCTGAGGGGAGAGGGGCGTGAGCTTTCCCTACTTTCTGAGCACAGTCTCCCCAGGAGGCACCAGGTAGGAACTTGGGGATCTTGGAGAGCGAGTTTGGGAATACCCGGAGGAGGGAATTAATTACTCCTTGGCCCACTCTTAAAAATAAAATAAAATAAAAAATATACACACACACACACACATATTAACTTTTTACAGAGAGAAGAGAGAGGGATAGTTAGAAACATTGATCAGTTGCCTCTTGCACACCCTCTACTGGGGATGTGCCCGTTATCAAGGTACATGTCCTTGACCGGAATCGAACCTGGGACCTTTCAGTCTGCAGGCCAACGCTCTATCCACTGAGCCAAACCGGTTTCAGCAAGCCCACACTTTTCTTGAGATTGGCTTCCTCTGGGTTGACTCTTGGAGCTCCAGGTATAACCGCCCGCCCCCCCTGTCACCGTTTCTGTTGCAGAGGGGCTGCTGAGCGAGGAGGCAGTTCTGCGGGAGGAAGAGGATGGCCACCCCGGCGTGCTCCCAAGCCTGTCCGAGCCCCGCAGCACCTCCCGGAGCACGTCCCGGAGCCCCCGGGAAGAGGAGGAGGAGCCGCCGCCCCCGCCACCGGTGCTCCCCTGGAGGCGGCACCTCTCCCTGGGGAGCCGGCACCCGGGCGACAAGCCGGCCCCCCGCCGCTTCCGCCGGCTCCACCACCCCATGGCCCACCACGTGGACCTCGGGGAGCTGGACAGCCTGATGGCCAGCATCCTGGACGCGCCCACCATCTGCCCGGACTGCGGGGAGAGCTTCAGCCCGGGCGCCGCCTTCCTGCAGCACCAGCGCATGCACCGCCTGGCGGAGGCGGCGGCGGCTGCGGCGGCTGCGGCGGCGGGCGGCCTGGGCCCCTTCGGCGGCCTGGCGGGCGAGTGCGCAGGCGCGGCGGCGGCGGCGGCGGCGGGCGTGGCCGGGGTGGGCGTGGCCGGGGGCTTCGGGCCGGGCCCCACCCTGGCGCGGCCCCCGCGCGAGAAGCCCTTCCGCTGCGGCGAGTGCGGCAAAGGCTTCAGCCGCAACACCTACCTGACCAACCACCTGCGCCTGCACACGGGCGAGCGGCCCAACCTGTGCGCCGACTGCGGCAAGAGCTTCAGCTGGCGCGCCGACCTGCTCAAGCACCGGCGGCTGCACACGGGCGAGAAGCCGTACCCGTGCCCCGAGTGCGGGGAGGCCTTCAGCCTGAGCGCGCACCTGCTCAGCCACCGGCGCGCGCACGCGGCGGCGGCGGCGGCAGCGGCGGCGGCGGGCGGGGCGGGCGGCGTTGGCGCGGGGCCGGCGGCGGCTTCGCTGCTGCTGCGGCCGTTCGCGTGCGGCGAGTGCGGCAAGGGCTTCGCGCGCCGCTCGCACCTGGCCAACCACCAGCGCACGCACACGGGCGAGAAGCCGCACGGCTGCGGCGAGTGCGGCAAGCGCTTCGGCTGGCGCTCGGACCTGGTCAAGCACCAGCGCGTGCACACGGGCGAGCGGCCCTACGTGTGCCGCGAGTGCGGCGAGGCCTTCAGCGTCAGCTCGCACCTCTTCACGCACCGGCGCACGCACTCGGGCGAGCGGCCCTACGTGTGCCGCGAGTGCGGCAAGGGCTTCGGCCGCAACGCGCACCTCGTCAACCACCTGCGCGTGCACACGGGCGAGCGGCCCTTCCGCTGCGGCCAGTGCGACAAGCGCTTCGGCGACGTGTCCACGCTCACGCAGCACCAGCGCACGCACACGGGCGAGAAGCCCTACGCGTGCGCCGAGTGCGGCAAGAGCTTCATCCAGAGCTCGCACCTCATCCGCCACCGCCGCATCCACACGGGCAACAAGCCCCACAAGTGCGCCGGCTGCGGCAAGGCCTTCCGCTACAAGACGCACCTGGCGCAGCACCAGAAGCTGCACCTGTGCTAGGGCGCTGCCCCCCCCCATCCCATCCGCGGGAGCTTGTGGGGTGTAAGTATCCTGGGGGACAGATAACCCGGGCCAAGGAATGAATGGGAAGAAGGGCGGGAAGGGACAATCCGAGAGGGATGGGGGTGTCTTCAGGTAAGGTGACCAGGCGTCCCGCTTTTGGCGGGACAGTCCCGCTTCTAAACATTTTTTAACGGGACACGGGACAGATTGTTAAAAAGCGGGACGTCTGGTCACCTTAGCCCAAGGGCAGCGTGGAGAGGTGTTCCCTTTTGGTGCTATATTTTGGGGACAACGAAGGGATGTTTTGGAGATGGACTTTTGGGCGTGCTGACTTCTCAAACGCGCTGGGGGCTAAGCGGGCACTTTTTGAGGGCCCGGAGGAAGTGGGGTTCCGGGAGGGGGAGGGAACAGGGCGGCAGGCTTTGAGTAGGTTGGGCTGTGATGTTGTGTGGAAATCGGGAGGGTGTGGTGGGAGTGAGGGTCACGGGGTACAATAAAAGGCGGGTGTGGATAATTCTGCCCTGGTGGTACCAGGTGTGAAGCCACTGTTTGCCCTGCCTCCCCTCCCGGCCCTCCCCACTTCAGCTCGAGTCCCACGAAAAGCAGAGGAGCCTTGCCGTCCTGTAGAGGACAGACCCCGAGCTCTCCTCTCTCTGAGCCACAGTTAGCTGCTATTTGGAGGCCTCTGGGGGAAGCCGGGCGGAAAGGCTGCACATCCTCACTTCCAAGGTGAAACTCAGACCTTCCTTCGGAGCCTGTTTCCAAATCTAGGCAGTCTGGTTCTTTGCTGCTTCCTCTGAACCGTCCTGGTTTCCGCTGGGCCAGGCTGGTCTGTGGGGGAGCAGGCCTTGCCCCAGGGCCAGGTGTGTGCCTGGCTCGTGTTTCACTCAGGCCTCCCCTGTGACCTCCCTGCCGGGACAGGGGGCTATCCCGGCTCTGGGCGGCTTTCCCTTTCCCGGCTCAGCTGGGGGCTTATGTCACGTGAACCTCAGGCCATCCAGTGGCCCTGTGACCTGCTGCAAAGGTCAATGCGCTCAAGAGCTTTGCAAAATTCACATGTTGGGAGGAGGCTCCTTTGTCTCATTTGCTTTATATCTGTGTACCCCCCACCCCTGATAGTGATGGGGGAGCTCATGGGACCCCCACCTTCACGCCTATTGACCTGGGCCCCGGTCTGAGTAGACACTTTTTTTTTTTTTTTTTTTTTTTTTTTTTTTTTTTTTTAATTTAACACGAAGGCACAGGAGAAAGCTCCAGGCAGGGAGAGCACAGGCAGGGAGAGGTGTGAGTGCAGAACTGCCAAGTAGCACAAGCCCTGAATGTTTCCTGGTTCTATTATTACAAAAGCCAAACTCGCACTTTCACATTTGCAAAGTGCTTTAGCGTTTTAATGATTGTTAGTTGCTCCTCATGTCTGTGAGGCGGGTCAGTGTGGTGACTCCTGTCTGGGGGAAGGCTGCTCTGAGGAGAGGCTGTGGCGGTGTGGACAGCTGTGGTCTGACCTTTTGTGCTCCCAGCTGCTGGGGAGACTGGCCGTTGTGATTTACATAATGAAATGAGGACACTGAAAATGCGAACGCATGTTGGAACACTTAAGGCCAGTCTGGAAGGGCCACAGGTGTCCTCGCTGACACAGCTGGTTTTGTCCCATCCGTAGGGTGTCCTCGGCGTGTTATGTGTCCTGTGGGGCTGTGGTTAGAGGACTCCGGTGTAGATGTCAGTTCCCTGGGCTGAGCCCCTCCCCCGGATTAGCCTCTAGAAGTCAGCGTGGTGGGAAGCAGCCTTGTTTTCTCACTGGTGATGGGTACCCTGTGCTTTTCACGGATAAAACACCACAAGATGGTTCTTTACAATTCAGATGTTCTGGGGATGCCGGCCATTGATCCATGATTAGTTGTATTCTAGCAAAGAACCTCTTTGGGGGGGGCCGTAGGAAAGCATGTTTGTCATTATAAAACCATTTTTTAAAAGAATGCTGAGAATTCCGGGCATGTCTGATGCTTGTCGATCTTGCCCTCTTAGGGGTTGGTATTCACAAATGCAAATAGATTTTCAAGATACAGTTTTGGAAGACTGAGAATTGTTCTTTTAAGATGTTTTTCTAGTTGAGCAAAGCAAGTGTCCGTTATTTATTCTGCATCGTCTGGCCTGAATAGGATGTGCGTGAGACTCACCGGAAGGTAATGTGGCCCGCATGTAGGCGATCTTGTTCCTTTTCCCACGCCCATCTACCTCTTCTGGCTTTCTTCGGTTCTCCCAAGTCCGTGCCTGTGAAATCGCATCACACGTTCGCCTCTTCAAGGGTTGACTCTCCACCTTGTGGGCTATTTGGCCTTTTGCTGCCATTGCACAGTCTCGCCCGCGTCCATGACGTTCCCTATTGGTGATTTAGAGGCCCTGGGAATCTTTGGGTTTCTCCGGCCTCTCTTGTTCTTTCTGTTCCCGAGGCTAAGAAGAGACAGCTGCTGCTCCCGTGTCCCCTCCGTGAGCAGACTAGCCATCACCACCCACTTTCACGGCGTGTCGCCAACGTGACTCCATTTTCCTTACAATGAATCCTTCAGGGAGCGTATATGCGTTGAGTGAAGTGAAATGCGTTCAGGGGATGGTTTCTTGGATTTACTTTTACAATAACCGTGTTTCTCAAGCACCCCGTTTCCTGTGGTTCGCCTTTACATGTGTTCATCGGAAGACTCCCTTCTAGCAGCTCAGGACGGACGCTGGGGGCCAGTGTGTCATTTGCTTCCCAGGAGTATGGTCAGGCGCGGGCTGCGCCTCCCGAGCAGAATCTGGTGTAAACAGTAAAACGGCTCGCTGGCGTCGGGAGCCATGAGTTGGCAGGAGAAGACTGGTGAACCCCGGGAGCCATGTGGTCTCTTTGAGACCAAGAGGCTGTACATACGTGAAAAAGTGCACACGGAGAGCCTGTGTTCACACGCCATCCGAACTGAGCCCCTCCCATCACTGTGATGTTACTTTACAGCTGATTGTTCAAACGGTGAATAATTTAATGGCCCTGGTTTTGTGTGTGTGTGTGACTGGTTTTGTGTGAGTGTGTGTGTGTGTGTGTGCTTGTGTCTGTGGGAATTGCCTTATTTTCCCTGGGTTGTTTTATTTAATGATGGCTCCCTGGACAGCATTCTGGTGCTCCAGCAGCCGGTATGGAATATGTGTCATTAAATCCTCGTCAGTCTTTCGCCGTGCCGTTCTTGATTCTTTATTTGTCCCGGTTTGATGTCGGGTCACGCTGTGGAAGCTGTGCTCACCCATGCAAGTAGATTTGTAAAAATACTAGAGGCCCCGCGCACAAAATTCATGCAAGGAGCTCTGCCCCTGCTGCTGAGGCGGCTTCATCTGGAAGGTCATCCAGTCGGTCGTCTGGTCTAATTAATAGAATATTATGCTTTTATTATTGTTGGCTCTTGGTTGGCCCGCTTTCCACACACACACACACACACACACACACACACGCTTACAGTTACAGACAACCAATTATAGACAGCCAGTCAGGGCAAAGGACAACACTGCTCTTTGAAGTTCACTAGATAAAGCCAGGTGGCCATTGCAGGCTGCAGCTGGCTCTCCTTTGTTCATCTCTGTCCATCAGACTGCCATCACCCCCTCTGCTTTATTATTATTATTGTTATTATTAATGTACAGTATTGGTTTCAGGTGTACAGCTTACATGCTTTACCTAGTACCCCCCTCAGTGTTTCTAGAACCCACGCAGCTTTCACACTGTTACTGACAAGGTAGCCTATGCCGTACTTATATCCCTGTGACTGTTTTCTAACTGCCAATGCGTGCTTCTTAGTCCCCCCACCTCTTTCCCCCAGGGCCCCCAGCCCTCTGGGAGCCCCAGCTCTCTGTTTGTAGGAGTCTGCTGCTTCCTGTGCTGCCTGGGCTCACTTATCAACCCAAAACTCCCGGCCTCCCTCCGGCCTCCCTCCCGTTCTCATTGATCGGCTGCCTTCTGCATGCTCCTACTGGGGATCGAGCCTGCAGCCCAGGTGTGTGTCCTTGACTGGAATCAAACCCGGGGCCCTTCAGTCCGCAGGCCGGTGGCTCTATCCACTGAGCCAAACCGGCTAGGGCACGTTGTTGTTGTTAGGTCTACTGTTAGGAAGTGTCTGAGTCAGACCAGACCTTTGGCAGATGAGGACCACGTACTGCACTGGGCTGATGTGAGTGGGTTTTGTAGGAGCCACAGATACAACTCCTTAGCCAGAGGCCTCTGCCCGCAGGAGGCCCTGCCTAATGCTGCTGTCGCTGTAGACCGGGCTCATAGGTAGACTTGATCTTGGCTTTCCTGCCTGGTGGAAAGATGCCGGGGTGAGGTCTGGGGAGAAGGTCAAGCCAGACAACACGTGAAGGGTCCTGGAAGGTTTAGGACAGGGCAGGTGTTAGGAAACAAGGTGGACATGGGGTGAGGTGTTGTATGGTAGCTCCTAGGAGCCCAGGAGGGGAGAGACAGATGCTCACATGCAGACTGTGTCCCCTGGGATCCCAGCTCAGGGGGAAGGAGAGGAGGAGGCGCGAGGCCATGGCCTTCACTTTCCCAGGGGCAGAGGAAGAAACATGTGAGGAACCAGCCCGCCTGTGCCTTTGGGGGCCTGCTGTGCTGGGGAGAGTGCGGGGACGGGCTTTGGTGTTCCCTGGCTGTGGTCCTGAGCAGGCTCGGATTTTCCCGGGTCTCTGTTTCCTCTCCAGGAGGCACTGTCTCTCCGGACTCTGCCTACTCAGATGCCTAGTGGTTGTCAGAGAGCTTAGAACCCACTCGGTGAACACCCAGGGCTTAACTCCATTGCTTCATGAAGGAAGGAGGACAGGATGGGTTTGTACTCTGAGGCAAGAGAGGACTGATACCTGGTAGGGTCCTGGTGGTCCCTGGCCTCGGTCCTCTACCACTAGATGGGCCCCTTCCCAGATGGGGCGCAGGAGCCAGGAGACTGGGAAGAGTTGGAAGCCACATCCCCAGCTTTGGCTTCCCACTAACAAACCAACACTCCAGGGGAGGACTGTGATGGGCAAGGCTAGCTGCAGCAGCAGGGGGTGCCCGAGGATACCCACCGATGTACCTACAGCTGCCTGGTGTCCCCGGGAACAGGACTTAGAAACGGGCCGCACCTGCTGAAACCGGTTTGGCTCAGTGGATAGAGCGTCGGCCTGCGGACTGAAGGGTCCCGGGTTCGATTCCGGTCAAGGGCATGTACCGTGGTTGCGGGCACATCCCCAGCTGGGGGCTGTGCAGGAGGCGGCTGATTGATGATTCTCTCTCATTGATGTTTCTAGCTCTCTATCCCTCTCTCTTCCTCACTGTAAAAAATCAATAAAATATATATATTAAAAAAAAGAGAGAAATGGGCCACACCTTCACCCGGCAGAGAAGGGAACCGACCCAGGTAAGTAAAGGAGCTGTCTCACCTTGACGGCACACTTGAAAGAGAACTCATTTTCACTCTCTTCGCGAAGAACCCGCACTCCACAAGCAGAGGCTCCACAGACGGGTGGGTGCCGGGCCCACCCGCCTCTGGCCCGCCCCCCCCCCCCACGCCACACATGTGCTGGCAGGGCGGCCTCCTGGCTCTGCGCCTTCCTGGCCCCTGGGAGGCCATGCCTTCGCCTCCCCCTTTCTCAGCACCGAGCTCTCGGGCCAAGCTCAGGGGGGCGTGGAGCACAACTTTGTCTTTCTCAGGGGAGAACTTGTACTTGGACGACCTTCCCTCCACTCCCTAAAATCCTGTGTTTTTTTTTTCCTGTCCAGAGTCCCTTTCTCTAATAACACTGCCTGCCTTCTTTCCTTCATCCCCTGTGTTGATGGAGTGTTGACTCGGAGCCAGATGTGGGGATACAGCTGGGCACAGGTGGTCAGTGCAGGGTCCCCGTGGTGCCCACCCAAAGTCCACAGTGGAGTCCGGGAGACAGGTTAATAAGCAACCGCCGGGACGGACCGTGACAGGTGCCTAGCGGCGGGGAGCGGGGGGGGGGGGGGGGGGGGAGGGGGGAACACTGCTCCCCTCCCTGGAAAGCCAGAGGCGCCTGCAAGCACGGAGAGGGCGGGGTGCCAAGGGAATGGAATGTGCTGCAGACGGGAGTCACTCATGTCCCTCACCTGTCCATAACCACATGACTTGTATTACCGAAGGCCTTTCAGTTGGCGAGATTTAAACCCAAACATTGTTTTCTTACTATATCTATGTCAAGTTAGCATTGGATGGTAGCAAATGCCAGTTTTTAAACGAATCATTAAGTTCCATTCACGGTTTCCTCTCCAATGCCACACCTAGAGGGAGCCGCCTCAAGAATTGTGCGGTAACTGTGCCACGTAGATTCTGAAAGGACCCCACCAGTTTTAGAAATGGACAGTGTTCCAGTCCCATGACGCCTTATAATAAAATTCTCCATTTGCGAATGAAAAAAAAAGGGGGGCAACAGAATTGGAGGGTCCGCGAGGCAGGTTAAGCCTCGCTGGTGCCCTTGGGGCGGGCGGGCTGCTCTGCTGAACCATCCTGGCGCTCAGTTCAAGGCGCTCCGCTGCCGCTGCCGCTGCCGCACCTGCCCGCCTCGCCCAGTAGCACAGCCGGCGCCGGCAGAGGGCGCTGCGGGGCGCGGGGAGGGGCGCCAGCTCCCCTCGCTAAGGTCGCTCTCAGCCTGGGATGCGGGATGCGAGGAAGAGAGAACGGGCATCCTCTGGTGCTTGAGGAGGGCGCCTCCAACAGGTCAGGGAAGAGTCAGCAGGCTGGGAGGGGGGTCAGGGCTGGGGGCCAGTCGGGCCTGCGGGGGCGTTGTGCTCAAGATGAGCTGGTGGGGGCGGCTGGAACGTGGCGGGGGGGGGGGGGGATTTGCGGCTCCCGGTGGCGTATGCTCCTCCCCCCCCCCCCCAAGGGCTCTCCTGGCTGCTGTCTGACCTGCGCGGCTTTCAGTGTGCACACTCGGTAGGTTTTATTTTATTTTTAACTTCAAAAATATATATATTTTATTGATTTTTTACAGAGAGGAAGAGGGATAGAGAGTTAGAAACATCAATGAGAGAGAATCATTGATCTGCCTCTTGCACACCCCCCACCAGGGATATGCCCGAAACCAAGGTACATGCCCTTGATTTGAATCGAGCTCCAGACCCTTCAGTCCACAGGCCAATGCTCTACCCACTGAGCCAAACCAGTTTAGGCCATTTTAAACTTTTTTTTGACATCACCTTTTTTTTTTAACCGTTCATGAACTACTGATTAGAGACTTTGACATCACCCTTTTTTATCGTTCATGAACTACTGATCACAGAAAGACTGTGCCAGAAAGATTTTAGTTCTGCACTTTAGGTTAATGCCAATATTTGAGAGTCAGGCCTGACAGAAAGCAGTAGCAAGTGCTAGGTAGAAGTGAAAAGAGAGAAAGACTGTACGTCTGAAGTGTTATAGCCCACATTTCCAGGGGCCTAATTTAAATGAGAATACCCCTATTTAGGAGTATAGGTCTTTTATGATCTTACAGATTTGAACTTGAAATTTGTGCTGGAGTTTAAGAACTTGATAAGAAAACAGCATTTTAATTTGGAAAATTGAGGGTAAAATAGCTGTTTAATTTCTTCATCTGAGTAGGGTTTTAAAAGCATAGTGCATTTGACTAGCCTACTTATATATTGTACCCTCCAAATATTTAAAAAATGTTTTACTGAGTTTAGAGAGAGAGTAAGGGAAAGGGAGAGAAACATTGATGTGAGACACATTGATTGGCTGTCTCCTGCATGGGTGGGATCGAATCTGCAACTCAGGTACATGACCTTGACCAGGAATTGAACCTGAGACCCTTCAGTGTGGGGTTGATGCTCTAACCATTTAACGACACCAGCCAGGGCTGAATATATGTAGTAATTTTTAGACTCTAAATTTTGCGCTATGGGCCATGAGACTAATACAATGTATAGTAAATACAATGTATGGTATAGGAATGATAGGGCAGTTCAGAGTTTATTTAAGAAAAGCAATAATAATTATTGTACCTATAATAGCCCACTACACTTTTTTACTAAAGCCTTAAGAATTCTTTTAAAACCACAGACCCTGCCATACTGTCCCATTCATGTGCAACATAGACGGAGCAATTTTCATTAATGCATAAAGTGTTCGAGATTTTTTACATTAATTAGAGGCCATTAATTCTTAATATCCAAAGCTTGGGAAAAAATAGACAACTTTATTATTTCTGAATGGGTTACGATGAGGTGGCAAACACATTGGGTGTTTCCCACAGGGACTTGGCCTTGGGCAGGCAGGCTTGTGTTGTGACCGATTAGGCTTTGATGATTGACCTGTTCGATTATTTTTCTCATCTTTGCCACTGAACCTTAAGTCTGTGAGGTATCCCCTTCCCTCCTTGTAAACATTGTAAAAGTCCATCTACTCTGTCGTCTGTCTGACTGCATGCAGTAAAAGCATGACTCTTTGTCCCTGTCCCCGTGACCGACTCAGATAACACCTGTGAACACTGAATGGTCATTCATGTCGTATCTGTTTCATTTTTTTTTTTGGGTATTTGCATGTGATAGCTTTACACTTGTCCGTGACATGTATGGAGGTTGTAAGCCAACAATAGTAAGACTTCAATTAGAAAGGACCCTTGTCTTAAATTTCCCAGCAAGATAAAAGAAAAGTAACCTGCTGGCCATCAATATATCCACACTTGGCTCAGAGGCTCAATTCTGCCACTTCCGGTGAATGCTAGACACTTGCTAATTGATTGGATGGCTGGAGTGGGCCTGGACTGATGGAAAAGCATTCCGTGTTTCTGTGGTCGGATCCTGCCAGTAGACTGTGAGTGGCTCATTTACTGAAAGACCCCTGAGGGAGGTGAGACTGTGATGAGTTAAGATTTCTAACTGCTTTGCCCTGGCCGGGTGGCTCAGCCGGTTGCGAGTGTCCAGGCAGGGCGCATACCCAGGTACAGGCAGTTTTTCTTACAGGAGACGGTGACATCTGGACATAGAGGCAAAGGAGGGAGGTATGTATTCCCATAAACCACAACCTCCTTTGGGTGAGGCATGAAAAGATTTATTCTTCTTTTCACCGAGTCGTGGAAAGGAATAGGAATTTAAAAAAAAAAAAAAGGATTTTGTAACGGGCAAAGGAAATGACACGAACAGGCCGGGCCAGTGCCTGGCGTAGGAAGAAGACAATGACGTGGCATCTATGTAACAGGGATGCAGTGGGATCTGGGTCCAGGTCGCTTTCTGCACGAACCCGGACGGGGAGATTGAGAGCCACCCGCTAACCATTCCCACACGCACCCCCTCGCCACCCCCCCACCCGCCTCAGCGGGCCTTGGCTCTCCCGGCTTCCCGGTGCCGCTTCACCAGGGCGCCGATCCACGCCGCGGTGTTCTGCTGGGCCTGCTCCCAGCTGAAGAGCGGCTTGTAGCCCAGGTCCCGCTGCGCCTTCTTGTAGGAGAAGGTGAAGACGCTGTTGAGCAGGGTCACCGTGTGGCGGTTGAAGGGGGGCCGGTACCTGCACACGGGCCTGAGCAGCAGGCTCACCATCTCCAGCAGGAAGCCCAGCCAGTACTGCAGCAGCACGGGCAGGCCCCTGCGGGCGTCCAGGTGGAACCCCCACTCCCTGCCCAGCGCGTAGTTGAGCTGGTCGTAGCTCTGGGGCGGCGTGTCGTCGGCGATGTAGTAGAACTGTCCCCCGACGCTGGCGGCCCGCTCGGGGTCCCGCAGGGCCCGCAGGGCCAGGACGTGGGCCCAGGCCGCGTTGCCCACGTACACGGGGTTGACCACGGAGAGCTTGCTGTTGTGGGGCAGGGTGCCGTGGTTCCGCAGGGCCTGGTCCACGAAGCCGCGCAGGAACGGGCTCCCTTCCCCGTAGATGTACATGGGCCGCAGGGCGCACGTGGACAGGATGCCGCCGTTCCTGAGGGCCCAGCCGTTGGCGGCCAGCACGGCCTCCTCGGCCAGCTTCTTGCTGTGCGGGTACGGGGCCGACCACGTGCTCTCCAGGGGCTGGTCCTCGCTGGCGTCCCGGATGACCTCCCGGTAGGAGTTGGGCCCCGCCACCTCGATGGTGCTGGTGTAGATGAAGATGGGCACGCTGGCCTGGGCGCAGGCCTCCAGCAGGATCTGGGTGCCTGCCCACGGGAGCGCGCGGTCAGTGTCAGGACAGAACCCAGAGGACCACGCCCACCGGCCATGGCCAGCCCCTCCTTCCCCACCCAGGGTGGGGGTGTCACTGCAGACCAGGAGGGAGCCCTCCCGTGTCTCTCTGGCTGGCTGAGAGCTGACATGCCGATGCCACAGAAAAGTGCAGCTAGAAAGAGAGGCAAACATGGCCAGGCGTTTGGGTTTCATGGGCCTGTGTGTGTGTGTGCTTCTGATTCTGGAAAAGGACCCAGGGTTGCTTAGCAAATGGTCATCCCCCGCCCCCCCCCCCCCCCAATCCTTACCATTAATGACAGACTATTTTAAATAAAATAAGTTAGGAAGTTATACTCTCAGAATATGGACAGTCCTAGTTCCTAGGCAAAAAGAGAACAGTTAAAGGACTTTTATCACACACACACACACACACACACACACACACGAGAGGGAGGGAGGGAGGGAGGGAGAGAGAGAGAGAGGGACGCTTATAGGTAATAAGCACTCTTAAATACACATTGAATTGTTTGTATTGTTCTCCTTTGAAGCACCAATAAACATGTAGTCACAAGGACCTTTCTTGGAGAGCCACTGAGCACGTTAGTGGGTTCTGGGGAGAAGCTGGAGGTCCAGGTTCTGCTCCCGATTGTGTGTCCCCTACAAGGCCAACCCTAGTTCTGTCTGTGACTTCCCAGGTATGGAAAGTGGGGGTGATAACCCTCCTCCTACTGAGCACTGGGGGATTCTGCACTGGCCTTGCAGGGTGAGCCTGGGGGAGAGGCAGAAGGGGGCGCCCTCTGGTGGCAATACCTATCAGGGGAGGACCTGGCAGAATCCCTTCAGAGGGGGAAGAATCTTAGCTCCTGGAAGTAATCCAGACCACCCTCCCCTCCTTACAAGGAATCTCTGGGCCAAAGCATCATTTTTCTGTTTTGCATTTAAAACTCCCTTTTAAGGACATGGTGAAGTTTGATTTTGGGGAGAGACAGCCTCAATGAAAAATAACTTCAATCTAGAGGCAGAGACTATTTGGGGCTAATGTACCTGCAGAGGGGGAAGTGACAATCATCACAAAGTATTTTCTAAGCCTGGGAGTGACCTTGCTTTTAGCCAACGTATCATGTCTCAGGGATTTCACATCTGTTGTTGGAGCTGTGAAGGGTGGGAATTGTGAGGGAGGGCTGATGGCAGGACACTGGTTCCTCTCCCCCCTCCTTGTAGTGTGGGGGTGACTAGGGGCGTGGCCTAGTGGGAACTGAAGGGGTCTTTTTTTGTTATTATGCTGTTTTTGGCTAGAAACCCAAAGTGGATAGAGCGTCAGTCTGTGGACTGAAAGGTCCCAGGTTCGATTCCGGTCAAGGGCATGTACTTTGGTTGCGGGCACATCCCCGGTGGGGGTTGTGCAGGAGGCAGCTGGTTGATGTTTCTCTCTCATCGATGTTTCTAGCTCTCTATCCCTCCTCCTTCCTCTCTGTGAAAAATCAATTAAAAATATATTTTAAGAAAAGAAAAGAAAAGGAGTTTGAGCACTCTGCACCGAGGACTGATGGGCTGGGGAGACGGGGTGCCGTCGTCCTAGAAAAGCTGGCCGCCGGGGACCAGATGGATGACATAACGGCAAGCTAACGAGGGGGTGAAGCCAAACCCTCGAGCAAAGGCGACTGTATTTAAAATAGATGGGAAAGCCACACTCCTGAAAGAGCCACCAAGCCTTTAAGGTGTGAGGACCGAAGGTGTACTTTGACACCTGGTTAGAACCAGTCTGTAGGAGGAGACCTGGTGGTGGGACGAAGAAGTGGTGTGAAGGATGATGGGATGCCATTATGGTTAAGAAGATGTTACAGGACGTCCAGTGCCCCACGACCCTGTAGTTCCAGACCACTGCACCAGCTTCATCCTGCACAGGAAGTCCCGCCCACGGAATCCGGCCCAGAGCTGAGGCCCATGGCTGCTGACTGACTTGGGGCCACCTCATCCCAGTGCCCTTCATTCGTGGCTCCCCATGTGTGATCATCACCTCAGAGCCACACGGGAGGGCTAACATGATGACTGAGGAAGCAGCTGGGAGGCCCGGTTCCAGCCCAGGGGGGGAAGGTGGTTGACTATCAAGTGTTGGAGGTTGGAGTTTAGTTCCTTCTCGATGGGAGCAGCGCTAGAAAGAGCTTCGGTGGCCTCTGGAGAGTCACACTGCTGTGGGTTTCAATTCTAGCTCTCCCTCTCTGGCTCATGGGGGCCTTGGAAGTTACTCAGCCTTTCTCATCCAAATACCCGAGGACACCTGGCTGGTGTGGCTCAATGGGTGAGCATCGACCCATGAACCAAGAAGTCCCGGTTTGATTCCTGGTCATGGCACATGCCCAGGCGGTGTGCTGAATCCCCGCTAGGGGGCGTGCAGGAGGCAACCAGTCAGCTGATCGTTGATGTTTCTCTCTCTCCCTCCCCTTTCCTCTCTCTGAAATCACTAAAACATTAAAACAACAACAACAACAACAGCAAACCCAGAGGACAACAGCCAACCCTCTCCCGGTTGGTAGTGCTAAGCGAAAGCACAGACCTCAGGTGATCAGCGACTGCTCTGCTCCTCCCTACCTCGTCCTGTTCTCCCAGCCTCGCCGGCCCGCCCCACCCCACCCCACCTCCTCCCGAGGAGCCAGTACCTTTCACGTTGACATCCATGATGGTCTCTCTGGGAATGGCATTGAAGACGTCAATGACGGAGGCGGCGTGAATGACAGCCGAGGTGCCCTGGCAGGCTCTCTTCATGAACTGCTCATCCAGGATGTCTCCTTCCAGCAAGGTCAGCTTGCTCTGGCTCTGGAGCTCTGTGTGAACACCGGCAGGTCACTGGGAGGCATCTTGGATCTGGGAGTTTCCTGATAAAGGTGGCATTTTACCCAGGTCTCCAAGGACAGTGGGGGTGGTGGTGGAGGGGAGCATACCGGAGAGGGAGGGAGGGAGGCACATTCCACAGGAGGACAAGTAACCCGAAGCACAGAGATCAGAATGCGTAGTGCTTATTGGAAATAGCAGGCATCTGTTTCCACGCATCTCCTTCCGAAAAAGAACTGGAGCAGTGCGGAGTCACACGTGCCCGCAACACTAAGCTGTCAAAAGGACTCGCGGGAAGTCGCCCATTCACGGAGGAGAGGGGAATGATTGTGGAGAGTGGCTATACAGAGGACGGGATTCGGATTTCCTTCTGTAGGGAGTGAGGCTCACGCGTGGATTTGGAATACGTGGAGAAACGTGAACAGAGCTGTGTGGGACGCTCACCCTGGCCGCAGTGCCTTGTGGGGAGGGTGTGAGAGAAGGCAAAGCGGCGGAGAGAGCAATCTGAGTGTCGGGACCAAAGCACAGATGGGGGGCGCGGGAGCCAGGGTCCCAGTAGCTGTGCCGGGCAGAGATGGGGAGGGAGGCGCAAGGTTGGACATGCAGATCTACTGTGACAGATTCTGGTTCTCATTGGAGATGGGCTGAGAGGAAGAGTCAAGTCTCGGGTACCGGGAGGCTGGGGGAACCAATGGGGGGATTTAGGAGGAGCCCAAGCTCTGGTTAGCTGTCATCAGAAGCAGATGTCTGCCCAGTGAGAGCTTCCCGCCCTGGAGTCCAGGGCAGCAGCCACTGTGGAGGGTCTCCGGCTCCTCTGAGGCCCACGGGAGTGACCTGGTGCTGCGCTACCTATCGTTTGGATAGACACCTGCATTTATCCTGTGCTTCCTACTCTCCACTCGACTCTCATAGTCTGACTTCCTTTCACAGCTGTCTCAGGACATGGGCATTCGGATGCCTACTTTCCAAGCGAGGGGCCTGCGGCTCAGAGAGGAAAAGGAGGTCACAGCCTCCCCCCTGCCTTCAGCCTCGCTCACCTTCCCTGGCCATCCACGGGCAGGACCGGCTCATTTCTGGGGGCAGAGTCGGGGCAAGGCAGGAGAGAAACTGCTGGAGTCACCTCTGCCCTCCCTTCCTCTGCCTGTTGTTTGCTGCTGACTTCAGTAGACTGGATCAATGGACTCAATATATCCTGGTTTTGGGGGAGAGGGGAGAAATCCCACACCAAGGAAGGGAAGAATTCCTACCTATCCCACTAGCCTGCAGGGACGCAGAGGAGCCAGGAGAGGGCGCTGTGGAACCCCCGGTGGTGGAGCCATGGCTCCGTGGACGTGGACTTGGACTTGGCGAGGCTGAACATGTGGCTGCTTGTGTGGTGTGTGTTGGGTGGGAGGCAGGCCCAGAGGAAACCTTTCAGGCAAACTAGTGGTTAAGAGCACAGACTCTGGGCGAAACCGGTTTGGCTCAGTGGATAGAGCGTTGGCCTGTGGACTGAAAGGTCCCAGGTTCAATTCCAGTCAAGGGCATGTACCTTGGTTGCGGGCACATCCCCGGGTGTGTGTGTGTGTGTGTGTGCAGGAGGCAGCTGATCGATGACTCTCCCTCATCAATGTTTCTGACTCTCTATCCCTCTCTCTTCCTCTTTGTAAAAAAACAATTTAAAAAAAAAAGGGGCAGACTGCCTGGGTTCAGGTTTAGCGCTGCCATTTTCCCATGACCCAAGTTCACTTACTAGAGAATTCCTCCTGCAATTCTGGTCTGAAGGCTTTGTCCAGTGCCCGGATCTCCTGCAGCTCTCTCTCCTCCACCAGCAAGCGGATGATCCTCTGGCCCAGGAATCCTCCTGCGCCCGTCACGAGGCAGCTCCAGCCGGCCATGGCACACCTGGGGACCGAGAGGTGCCCTCCAGAGACCGGGAAGCTGGGGAGCAGGTGGGGTAGAGGCCCACCCCGAAGAGGCCTACCCCCCAACAGAGGCCAGGCGGCCACAGGTGCACACACCCCTTCCCTTCCCCCCAACCCCTCCGCACCCACGACTCCTTGAGAGAAAGATTTGGAAAAGCAATGACCTGCTGGGTTGCTAACAGTCAGAGGGAAGAGCCTGAGCCTGAGTCTGTCCCCTGGAGGCAGCCCGGAGTCTTGCGCCCTCCCCTCTGGCCCGGCCTTTTTATCGTGCCCTCTATGGGCTCGGAGTCATCGCTCACGCCTGTCCCAGGACCCCTCCTACTGCCTCTATCTCCAGCCTCTATCTCCTCTCCCTCCCGAGCAGGGGAAGAGAAGGCCAGCCCCAAGGCCACCGCATAAAGATGCTCGGGGGCGCCCTCAGCAGAACACCCGCAGGGGGCGCTGGCTGTGGGGGAACCACAAGCTGTGAATTTCAGGGAGACAAGACGTCTCCCAGCGCAGTGGGGGTTTTGTCTGTGAAGTAGATACGCGGGGTGGGTGGGTGGGGTATATTTTAGTTCCGTCTCCTCTCTCAGGGTGTTGCCATTTTGCAAAGCTGAGGCATTTGCAGTGGTGGCAGCAGCTCCAATCACTATGCTGTGCGGGAGGAGACCTTTCCCACCCAATATATCCAGACATCAATTTTGCTCCCCCCCCCTCCCCCCCGAGAGGTCTGGGGAAAGCTGTCCAGCGATAACCGCCCACTTCTATGGCCTGTGTCATGAGATTAGGGGTCTAGTTGTGTTCAAAAACTGTTGCATGTTTGACTAGTGTTTCTATTTTATACATCTTTATCTCCCCATGAGGATTAGCACAGTGTACGGGCACATATTAGGGAATGAATGAGTGAATGAATGAATGGAAGGATACACAAACAGTCCAGGACTCTGAACGTCTTAGTGTTTTTAGTCCTTTGGTTAGGTCTCGGTGTTTTGGTGAGAAGCTGTGGTGCTGGCCTGTGAACCTGACCAGTGCTTCCCGGTCCCCTACCGCCCCCCTTAGGTGGGACAGGGTGGCTACAGGGGGGGCTGGACTGGGTATTTTCCACCTCCCAGGGAGGTTAGGGTCTTGCTAAGAGCAGGGGGCTCTGGCGGGCACACTTCAGAATGGTTCCTTTCCCCTCCTCCTGCGGGAAGCTCTAGGGAGGTGTGTCCGGTCCTCACTGAGAGAACCAGGAGGTAAACCAGGTAGAATTCCCAGAAGAAAGACAAAAGCCTGGGGGCATCCTGCAGTGGCTTCTCAGCTGACTCTCTTTATCAGATTGAGGGCTTATCTCTTAGATGCCAAGTATTCCATTCCATTATTGATGGGCGGCCCTGGAGTTTTTAACTTTCAGACTGGTCACCTCGCAATTACAGCTCGGGTTTCCTACCTTATGACTCTCATGGAGGTTTGTTCACAGATTCCCGCTCCGGTTAAGTTGTGATTCCCTGGGTCTGCCCGTCTCTCCAGTGGGGGGCAGTGGTGTGCCCTGTGACCTCACTTTTCGGAGGGACTTGGCGGAGTTGTTGTTTTCAGTTTGCTCAGCTTTTGACTTCTCGTTAGGAGTGGAGATGGAAGTCCTCCTGCCCCTGAGTTTTCACGTCAGCCCGAGAAGGTTGGTTTGACAGAAGATGACGGGGATGCGTGTAGTCTTGCCAAACTTCTCGAGGACAGTGACGTGGGAATCTCCGTCAGGCAGCCTGACCCTGCAGTGGCTTCTCAGCTGACTCTCTTTATCAGATTGAGGGCTTATCTCTTAGATGCCAAGTATTCCATTCCATTATTGAACACATTCCAGTGGAGAAGGTCTACGTGCATTCGAACAGGGAGGCTCCCCCTCCTTCCCCCCCAGCACAGCCTCTGGCAGTACCTTATCATGTCTTTGCTCCTTTTCCTTGGGCTCTTGGATCTAGCTTGGATCTAGCCATCTGAGTCCAGAAGGAAAAACGACTTCAGAAATAACACACGTGTGTCCATGACCAAAATAGTAGACACCCAGGCAGAAGCACACAGGGACGATTTATGCTAGACTCTCCTGGAACGTCAGTGAACTCCATTATGTCCACAACTTGCTTTCATGATGCTCACGCTCACTCCAAACCAACCTGGAATGGCTACAAGCGCCCAGCTGATGATGTTAGGGCTGGCCAGCATGCCTGCTTAGAAGTCCTCATAAGTAAAGTTATCACAGAGAAAATTGGGGAGTTTTACAAGTTCGCCAGCCAGTAAGGTAAGCGGAGCATCGAAAGGTTCAAGTCGGTGATGCGTGGGCAGACTGAATAGCCATCTCAGACGTGGATGAAGGAGATTTGAGTTTATTTAAGGAAAGTGGGGGCTGGGGATAGCCAAAGGGAAAGGGTACACAGCACTGAGCCAAAGGACATTGGGTCCATGATGGCAGCCAAAATATACTTAGGACCGTGACAACAAGGAAGGGCATAGAAGAAGCAACAGAAGAGGATAGGGTGCGCTGCTCTGGCTCACTGAGAAGGCAGAGAACAGCAGGCCTTAGAGACAGGCTCGGGGGGTTAGCAGTGCCACTGCCCATTGCTCCCCTCATAAGTCTTGTGGGGTCACGTAAAGGGAAGAATGAGGGAGGGAAGGCTCCGGGGGAGACTGTGCACTGGGTCCTTTGTCCTGATCATACTTCTCCCTCTCCTGCCGGTGGGAATCTCAGGGGAGGTCCCCGGGGAGGGTCTGAACAGAATATCCATGATCTTTCCTCCTGTGCTCTTCCAGGGTGGTGGGCTCCACGGGGTGCTCGGTGCCAGGGCAGGGGGTCACTAGCCAATGTGACTGGTCTGGAGGCAGCCATGGCGTCACTTCTCTGCTTTTGCTGCTTCTCTGGGCCTGGAGCTGAACTATAACGGAGGCCTGGACGTGATCTTGAGGAGGATATGAAAGACGGGGGTCCAAACCTCATGACCAGAGAGATGCCAGGGGAGGACAGGTCACCCTGGGGACAAGGTTCTCGCTTTCCCAGTTTTGCCCCTTGCGAGGCACCCAGGCTTTCTGCCCTGGGGAGTCTCTGTACCTGGTGCGCTGTCTTGCTCTGCTCATGTCTAACAAGCGTGAAAAAAAAAAAAAATCTGACTTGTGAGGTTGTGAAGGGGTTAAAAGAGTGGATGTTATTCTATCAATGATTTCTCTGGTTTCATGCCATATTTTCAAGGCTGTTATTCTTTCGCACCACCAAGGACAGTTTGGTACTGAGATATTCTCTTATTTCTGATGTGAAAATAATTATGAGACCAAAGCGGTGGACGTGACACAAATGGTGTCTGAGGCAGAGCTCTGAGCTCTAGAGGTGCAATCCCGGAGAATGGAGGTCTAGGAAGGGTCCCATGCTCCGCTGTGCGTGACGCTGCGTCCTGCTAGGGGCCGGGGTGAGGCCGGGGAGTAGGCCAAGAAAACACTGAGCTACTGAAAGACTTCCCCAAGCCACCCCGTCTGCCAGTGGCAGTCCTGCCTCTTAATCCCTTGTCTGCATGGCTCCGCAGCCTCTTTTAAACCCTATTATTGCCCTGGTATTTTTAGAGTGGGGAATGATTTTTTGTTGGGGGGATACTTTATATGTATTGCTCCTCTGTCCAGAATGCAGATGCCCATAGATGTTTCATAGAGATGTAGAGGATATGCAAGAATTTCATCCACTAGTCCAGTGGTGGGCAAACCACGGCTCGAGAGCCACCTGCGGCTCTTTGGCCTCTTGAGTGTGGCTCTTCCACAAAATACCACGTGCGGGCGCACACGTACAGTGCGATTGAAACTTCACGGCCCATGCGCAGAAGTTGGTTTTCGGCCTTGGTGAGTCTATTTTGAAGAAGTGGCGTTAGAACACTCAAAGGGCCAAAGAGCCACATGTGGCTAGCGAGCCGCGGTTTGCCGACCACTGCACTAGTCAATCATCATTGACCCGCCCTTTTCCTTCAGAGGGGGATTTCGGGCGAGAGAACAGCATTTAAAGAGCAGTGAGGCAGAGGAGGGTTTGGGGCCGGAAGGTGAAGTGGTTGAGCCGCTGGATGGCACAGGGCCTGGGCAGGATGGTGTCACACATAGGCTCTGGTCTGGTCTTCCCGTGGGCTGCCTCGGCAGTCCTGTCCCCAGCTCTTTCCTTACAACCTGGAGAACTGGATCAGGTCCTGATTGATCTCGGCAACCGACCGGCAGCCTAAAAGAACAAGGGGTTCAAAAGCTCCAGAATCCCGCCCCATCGTGCTGTGGATGAGCCAATGGGAACAGGCCCTGACTTGCAGCTGGTGCTCACCCCGAGGCAATATTATGCATCCGGAATGGAACGATGCCATTCTGTTTGCCTCGGGAATTATTCCAGGAGCCTGTGCGTGGGTCCTCTTTTGGCATTTTTTGAAAAATATATTTTATTGATTTTTTACAGAGAGGAAGGGAGAGAGATAGAGAGCTAGAAACGTCGAAGAGAGAGAAACATCGACCAGCTGCCTCTTGCACACCCCCTACCGGGGATGTGCCCGCAACCAATGTACATGCCCTTGACCGGAATCGAACCTGGGACCTTTCAGTCCGCAGACCGACGTTCTACCGCTGAGCCAAACTGGTTTCGGCTCTTTTGGCATTTTAAAAGCAATGCGTGTATGTAGTAGATACCCTTCACCTTGATCTGGGTCCTGATAGGTTCAGGTAGGACGTGTATGGTAAGGAGGAAATGAGTCAGGGACAGCTTAGGAGTTCTGAAAAGTGAAGGGTCCTCATTAGAACGCAATAGGATTGGAGTTGAGATTACACATGGCGGCTCCAGAAAGGGACTTCAGATAAGAAGTAGAAGAGGCCTGGCTGAGGTGGCTCAGTGGTTGAGTGCTGACCTATGAAGCAGGAGGCCACGGTTCGATTCCCAGTCAGGGCACATGCCTGGGTTGCAGACTCGATCTCCAGTGTGGGGCGTGCAGGAGGCAGCCCATCAGTGATTCTCATTATTGATGTTTCTATCTCTCCCTTCTTCTCTATAATCAATAGAAATATTTTAAAAAGCAGAAGAGGAGGGAGAGAGCATCTGTGTGGCTTATGGGCTGGAGAACTGAGGGCTGAAGGAAGCAGTGAAATCTCCCTGGCGATGAGAAGGCTGCTGGAATTGAACGACAGGATGTGTAATGTCCGCCTGGAATTTCTTTCTATGCCTCTGATGTATGCCCCTTCACCTCCCCAAACACAAACTTCAGCAAAATGTGTTCCTCACAAAAAATATGACTCAAAAGAGGGTCTGTTCTTCAGAGTGGAAATAGAGGAAGGAGTTGCCTGCCTGGGTGACTGCGCACACAGAGCCTGCACGCTGGACTGATCGGCAGACGCCACTGTGCGGGCCTTGACGGCTCTCCCAGGAGGGACAGTGATTTCAGAGCCTTGGGCTTCCACCGGGCAGAGAACAGGGGGACTCCCATGCAGGCAGACCTCCTCACGGAGCACAGAGATCAGGACAGGCTCTGTGATGATGTGCCGCAGGAAATTAGTTAAATTGAAAAAAGGGGGTTTATGGAAAGTAACCTCACAGGGTGACCTGATCAGAGATTCCCAGCTGGGCAGAGCATGGTGGGGAATCATACCCGAGGCACATGCTGTCTTCAGGAAAAGGTTGAGCTTTGCCTCAGCAGCCTTGTCCATGCTTTCTGTGCCTCCCGGTTCAGGCACCTTTGCAAGGCCCTGATGCCTCTTCTCAGAAGCCAGCTCCCGGGAAAGAGCAGGCAGGGTTAACTGTTCTGTAACCCGCCCCCACGCTGCTTTCTCCCGCCCTCATGTGACCTTCCCTCCTCAATTCCAAATGCGTAAGGGCAGCTGGCAAACTGTCTTTTCTTGGAAGCACTTATCTCTGTTGGAAATTTATCTCTTTCGAAACATTCGCCTCTCTTGCATCCAGGCATACGTGCCCTCTGTTTGGCTCGAATAAATCTTTATTAAAAATCCTCTCCCACTTCGGATGAGGGATGAGAACGCAGTGAGGTCTGTGCAGCCTTCAGGTGATGGGATTTATATGCGGGCATTTTGTTTTCTTTTAAGACAAATCATTTTAACCTTTTTGTAAATATAAAAATTTCAGAAAACTGGTCTCCCAGCTGGGAAAACCAATACTTTTCAACTCCCTTTGTTTTTGGCAATGGTGTTACAGGGTTCTCCACCCAGGGCTGTGGTGTCACAGAGATATGAGGGGGAACTAGCACACTGACCGGCTGCCTCCTGGCACCAGTTTTAGGTAGCGTTTACATGCTTTGTGCAGGGAGGGAATGGGGAGTGACACCACCTCTGGGCTGCACACTGAGGTTCTCCATCAAATGCACAGCCCCCCAACCTGAGATCCCCTCTCTCCAGGGAGGAGTCTGGGGGTGGGGGGTGTCTTACCTGCAGCAGTGTCTCTTAGAGGATGCCCAGGGATGCCCTTTAGTCTGGTTTCCTATCCTTTCCCTTCCTCTCGAACCCTCTTCTCTGCCCCTTGTTTGGTTGGGATCACTGCTGTTTCTATACACTTAAACAGTACATCTCCCTGTAGAACGATCAGAAGGGAGAGGAGTACAAAGAGTCGGGCACAAGAGTGCCCATAATCCTGATTTTCCTTTCCTTTTTCTGGCCAGTCACAAAAGGTGTCCCAGAAATAGTTTTCTGTCCCAGAAATAGTTTCCAGCGGCCACTAACAGGGGAGTGGTGAACAGGTGCTCACTTTGGTGGCATGATGAAGCTTTGTTATTGAGTTTCCCATCAGGCTATTGTGAAAAGAAGTTTGGGCATCAGTTTGCAAGAAGTGGGGGACACGTGGGAGGAGGCCAGTCATCTCAGCCTCCTGGAATCCACAGACCTGCAGGTCTCCCCACCCCTCCCCTGCGGCTCCCAATATGCTCTCAGTTCCCACCCCTCCCTCAGGGGAGGAACTCGGTGATGTCGGGTCATTTGGAAATGAGTTACTTAGAAAAATACAAAATAAAAATGCCAAACCAAAGGCCCTTGAAGAGGAAAGCCACCACCAGTAGCTGGGAACCACTGTTTTTGGGAACACTGGGACTCCAGGCTTTGCTGAAAACGTACAAGTTTTTATGAGCGCCACTTTACATTAATTTCATTTTTGACTGAAACCCATGTAATTTTGAGACATGTTTGTCTTGCTGTCTGTGGTTACGGGGGACAGTGCTTCTCCTTCTCCCTCTGTTTCTCTCTCTCCTGGGTCCCTCTGTACTTCTTCGACATAATTTCTCGACTATTCACAGTCCACGAGTACTGTTTTATAGTGATACCCAGAGAGCCTGATATGGTCCGAACAGTCCAGAGCAACCTGCAGGCCTCGCTCCCATAATGTGACACCACTTTGTACACCTTAATCACGGTGATCAGGGACCTACTTCCTGGTCCTGGGTGAGGACCAGGAAGTAGGAACCGTAGCTTTTGTTTCCTGCAGTCTGTCTTACCAGGTGACTGAGAATGTGCTAAAGCGCTGAGGATGCTCACTGATGCATTGCTTAAAAGAGCAGAAGCTTAGGAGCAATCCAGATGTCCAACAATAGCAAGTTTGTGAGATGGACTGTGCATTCATGGTTAAGATGTGGCAACGACAAACCTTTGTCAGGGACATGTCTTTCCTGCTATCTCTGCTGGCATCCCCAGGCTGGGGAGCGGCAGAAGGGGGCCCACCCTCCTGCTCCTTAGACCTCCCACTTTCAAATCAGGAAGAGAGTCGGACACTCACCTGTAAGGGCCATGGAAGTGTGGAACTCATCCTTCAAAATGCTCAAAACTTCCCCAACACCATGTTCTCCCTGAGAGAGAGAGGGGGGAGGGGGGGAAGAGAGAGAGGAACATTGTGACCATGAGCTGATATAGATTCTAGGTGTGCTCAGAGACAGGGAGACGTGGTGAGGAGCATGGGTGATCAGTGAAATAAAGAAACGCCAAGAGGAGAAGGGGTGAGGGCTCTGGAAAACGTGCAGCGTGCTGCAGAGGAAGCCTGGGGGTGCGGGCCAGGTGGAACCCTTCTCTGGGAATCTGCGGCACCTGGAGAGATGGTAAGCTTGGGTGGGGGGGTGAGGGTGGGGAGGAGACCACAGAAACGCACTCCAAGAAACAAGGAACGAGGAACTCGGTACCTCCGAGTTGGCCTTCCCTTTGGGCTCACCTTGCAGGCAAGACCCCACAGGACCGGTCTCCCCAGGAAGACGCACTTAGCCCCCAGGGCCAGAGCCTTGAGCACGTCGTTGCCCGTCCGGACCCCGCCGTCCAGGTACACCTCCAGCTTCCCCTTCACGGCAGCCACCACTTCCGGCAGGGCGTCCACCTGGAGCAGAGCACACGCAGCTGAGGCTGATTTGGAGCATGGAGACCGCGGGCCCTCCACAGGGGGGAGAGCCAGGAGTCTAACCCTGTAGCTTCCGTGTTTCCTGCTGTTTGTCTTTCAGGAGTTATTGAGGATGTGCTAAAGCTTTAAGGATGGCCACTGAGGCATTGTTTAAAGCAGCAGAAGCCAGAAGCAATAGAGATGTTCAACGATAGCAAGTCTGTTACATAAACCATCCTTTTATGGTTAAGAAGCACAAATTGCCAGTTATAAAAGCAGTCACAGGAATGTAGAGGTCAGCCTAGGGCAGTGGTCGGCAAACTCATTAGTCCACGGAGCCAAATATCAGCAGTACAACGATTGACATTTCTTTTGAGAGCCAAATTTTTTAAACTTAAACTTCTTCTAACGCCACTACTTCAAAATAGACTCCCTCAGGCCGTGGTATTTTGTGGAAGAGCCACACTCAAGGGGCCAAAGAGCCGCATGTGGCTCTCGGGCCACAGTTTGCCGACCACGGGCCTAGGGAATATAGTCAATGATATTGTAATGATAATGTCTTATCATTATGCTGTACACCTGAAACTAATGTAATATTGTATGTCAGCTGCAATTGGAAAGTAAATTAAAAAAAATATCATACACTGTCCATTCATACTATTAAAAATAAGAGGAGCATATATATTGAAATATAATGCCCTTAATATATCTGGGTGAAAAGAAGAAAATTAAAAATATTATGTATTACTTTTAAACCTAAAATGTTGTATGTGCATTACAGAGTTGTTAAAAATAATTCCAAAAATATTGCCATTAATGACAGTGATAACAATAGGAGTACCTTTTATCTTTTTTTGCATTTCGTATATTTTATAATTGCACTGCACATGACCTACAAATATAGTAAAAAGGCTAAAAATAGAGAGGGGAAAAATCCACTTTCTTCAAATGAGTTAAGCAGCAATTGAAGAATCTGGAAAGTAAGCTTCATGAAAATATGTATCTTCATGAAGATAAAGGAACAATGAATTCCAATTTAGATGTTCTTTCCTTGCCTCTCTCCTCTTCATTTTCTTTCCCCAAACTCCATATCTAATGGACATAAATCCACTTTATGGGAAAAATTACAGAGTGTCCTAAATGTTTACAAAGGAATGACGGGGCATTTTAAAGTTATGTTGAGAAGGACGGTTATCTGTCAGGGTAAGTGACACACCGTTCCTTCTGGGTTGAGTCATCTGAGAAAATGTGAGATTGTGATCCAGGCAGACAGGCAGCCTTCCTGCTGAATGCTTCTTCCCGGAGGCTGGGACCTCGGTGCTTTGGAAATACCTTTAACAGCACCCCCCCCCACTCCCCTCCTCGCAATGACTTACTAACAGTGAGAACTGGAGATGTTACTTAACACCGATGAACTCCAGCACTCTAATCTGCAACATGGGGATACTAATATTGTTGTGAGATTTAGGGATAATAAACGTAAAGTGTATAAAAACAGCCTGCTATACATGAGGCTATTATTAAAAGTCCTTAGCCTGGCTGGTATGGCTCAGTGGTTGAGTGTCTATTTATGACCTAGGAGGTCACGGTTCAATTCCCATTCAGTGCACATGTCTGGGTTGGGGGCTTGATCTCCAGTGTGGGGCGTGCGGGAGGCAGCCGATCAATGGTTCTCCCTCATTATTAAGTGTTTCTATCTCTCTCTCCCCTTCTCTTTTCCTCTCTGAAATCAATAAAAATATATTTTATAAATAGGGTATTAAAAAATCTTTAAAAGGTACACACATACCAACGTAAGTGATAAGAGAGGGGACGGTGCACACCAAACTGCACAGAGTACTTTGTTCTACACATACACCCTCCCACCCTCCCTCCCTCCCTCCCTTCCACCCTCCTCCCTCCCTTCCACCCTCCTCCCTCTGAGGTCCTCCTCCTTACAGAAGCAGGAACGTCGTCCAGCTGCCGCCCTCCGTGGTTGGAGACGATTATGCCCTGCACGTTGTGCTTCACGGCTAACTCTGCGTCCTCTTTGGTCAGGATCCCTTTCAGGATGATGGGCAGGTGCGTGATGGTCCGAAACCAGGACAGGTCGTCCCAGCAGAAGGCGGAGTCGATGGGAGACATCTGCAGATATGGCACTGAGCTTCTCTGTGGGGATAAAAGGAAAACCTTAGTCCCGAACTCCTTCAACACTGCTTGATCCGGTCCAGCGATGAGGCACACTCAGAAAGTGAGTGAACGCTAAGTGAAAAGCAGCAGTTAGGAGCTTGAAAAGAGGCGCTATCAAACGAATTCTAGCTCCTTTTCTTTACAAATATAATTTTATACTTTAATTGCTTACTCATTCACCGTTATTGTTTCCCTGTTTCCTTATGCCAGGATCTGGGGACACAAGACAGCTGAGACACAGTCCCCATGTTAAAAGAACTCAGAGTTTAGTGAGATGGATAAGTAGAAGCATGAATAGGCCAATGGAACACATTCCGGCTGAGAGAGGCACAGGACAATGACAAAGAAGCAATACTTCAATGATCCTAAGTTGGACAATATGCGATAGTGACTCACCTAATATCCAGAGATAAGGGTTCCCGAAAGCCTCAAGGCCAAGTTGTGTCTGACTTAATGAGTAGGACTGTTGAGTGTCTCCTGGGGGATATCGCTGGTACCCACTAACTGAAAAGCCTGGGGTCCCCATCGTCACTGTAGCCAAGGAATTCCAACTTGACCATGACTTTGTCTCTCTGGGGATTCCCACCCCATCCGACGGTAGGATTTTAATGGGTGAAGTGCTGTTTGCCGTCATCGAGTTCAGAGATTCCAAACACCTGGTGCTCCCTGGATGAGTTCCAGGTGTGCAGAGAGGTTGACCCCCCCCCCCCCCCTCATTTCTCTGGGCAGCAGGGTGGGGCCTGGGCTGGTTACACCCCAAGGCTGGTCGCCTTCGCTGTGAGCACCCCGTCAGAGGGTCAGTTTATCAAAGTGTGCCGCCCCAAATGATCATTTTTTAAGTGTGCCATGAAGGAGAAAATGCTGGAAGACCCAAGCAAAATCCTTTTTATAGCTTTCTCAGTGCTCAGCCCTGGCCAGAACACTTCTGGTGACAGATCGGACAGCTCCACCTCCAGAACAGCTCCAGAACATTTGGTCTCACACTCTGGAAGCTCTGGGAAGCAGGGACCAGCTCTGCCTGAGCTGCCGCGTCACCAGTGCCGGGCACAGACCAGCGCTCAATGCATTCTTGCGGAAGGAATGAAGGGAGGAAGCCCAGAAGGGGCTTTGTCCTCTGGAATGCCCGCCCATTGGGCTGGTATCTTTCCTACCTCCTGAGGTGACCCAAGATCCTTCAGCAGTAAATTTGACTTCAAGTTCAGCTGGTTGCGAACGTCATGTCGCCTGTTGCCAAGCTTGGGCACGTCCACAGTGATCACCAGGGCTCTGAACCCCAGGGATTCGACCCGCTGGACCAGCTGCTTGTTGAGCTGCCGATCTCGCTGCACATAGAGCTGGAACCACCGGAAGCCTCTGGGCGCCGCGGCGACGATGTCCTCCAGGGTGCGGCTGGCGTACGTGCTGGTGATGTAGCAGGTGCCGGCCGCCTGGGCAGCTGCAGAGCAAATGGCACAACTCAGGGTGGAGGCCAGGGGCATTCCAGGTGGGGGCGAGAAGCCCCAGGACCTGCACTGCTTCTGGCCAACTTGCCCTGAGGGTGAAGAGAAGGCCCGACTTCCTTCTGTGCCCTGTGGGGCAGGGTTAGAAGTGGTTTTTGTTGTTAAGATAGATATATATATATATTTAAATTATTGATTTCAGAGAAGGAAGAGAGAGAAGGATAGGAACATGATGATGTCCAGCTGGTGTGGCTCAATGATTGTGACGACCTATGAACCAGGAAATAACAATTTGATTCCTTCTTTTCTTTCCTCCTCCCCCCCTTTTCTTCTTTCCTTTCTTCCTCTTCCTCTTCCTCTTCTTCCTTCTTCCTTCTTCCTTCTTCCTTCTTCCTTCTTCCTTCTTCCTTCTTCCTTCTTCCTTCTTCCTTCTTCCTTCTTCCTTCTTCCTTCTTCCTTCCTCCTCCTCCTCCTCCTCCTCCTCCTTCTTCTTCTTCTTCTTCTTCTTCCTCTTCCTCTTCCTCTTCCTCTTCCTCTTCCTCTTCCTCTTCCTCTTCCTCTTCTTCCTTCTTCCTTCTTCCTCCTCCCCCTCCTCCTCCTCCTCCTCCTCCTCCTCCTCCTCCTCCTTCTTCTTCTTCTTCTTCTTCCTCCTCCTCCTCCTCCTCCTCCTCCTCCTCCTCCTCCTTCTTCTTCTTCTTCTTCTTCTTCTTCTTCTTCTTCTTCTTCTTCTTCTTCTTCTTCTTCCTCTCTCTCTCTCTCTCTCTCTCTCTCTCTCTCTCTCTCTCTCTCTCCTTTAATACCTTCTTCATATTGATTTCAGAGAGGAACAGAGAAGGGGAGAGAGAGAAACACACACTAATGATGAAAGAGACTCATTGACCAGCTGCCTCCTGCATGCCCCACACTGGGGATCAAGTACACAACCTAGGCATGGGCCCTGTCCAGGAATTGAACCATGACTTTCTGGTTCATAGGTTGATGCTCAACCACTGAGCCATGCTGGCTGGGCGAAAATGGGCATTTTCTCAATCTTCGTGGAGGTGTTAAGCATTCCTCTCCCCACCCTCCTTCATGCCAACCACGTGCTGTCCCTCAGCCCCTTCTCTGGAGAAACCCCAGGGCTGCCCGCCCTGTGTGAAGGAGGCCTCCCAGCCATCGCGGGCCTCAGTGGCCCGGCCCGTACCTCTGGCCGTGCTGGTCTCTCCGTCGGGCCAGGCCAGGCAGTGGAAACCCGTGGGCGCAATGCAGATGGGGGCGCTGATCTCCTCCCCTTGGATTGTGGTCCGGGTGTCCACCTGCGACACGTCTCTCAGGTACCGGGGCCGGAGGCGGAGTCTGCGCTAGACAACAGGTCTCCTGTGGGTGGGATTGCCTCCGGCACCGAGGTGCTGCCTGGTGCTGGGGCCTCCAGATTCCTGCTGCAGGTGGAGACCAGACTAGGCCCCCGGAAACCTCTTGGGGGGGGGGGGGGACCACTGGCTGGTAGCTAACTAGGCAGCACAGCAGACTGGAGGCTCCTCTCCTTCAGGGAGCTTCTCCCAACCCTGATTCCACACGAACCCCTCTCCTGTGGACCCCACCACCCCTCCTCGCCCCCTCTGTGGTCTGTGACTCCGGGAGGGTGGCTGATCTGTGCGCGTTCTGCAGAGGCACTAAGATAGGCACTCTCTCCAACCTTCCTCTCCCCAGTCATCTGCCCCCCCCCCCCGAAACCCCACCCCAAATAACACAAAAGCCATTCTATATCTGCTCTGGGCTTTGCAGGCAGAAACCAGGCCTGCTCCCTTCCCTGGAGCTGAGTCCAACCGCAGAAAAGATACAGGAGACCAGACTTCTTAAACGCTGCGACGTTGTCGTGCAGGGTGAAGCCTTCCCCAGCGCCTCCTTCGATGTAATCCCAAGTGGACTTGGAGAGCCGCTCCCGAGCGTGGGCCTCAAAGTCCGTCACACACACCAGGGACATTGCTGCACCTTCAGAGGAGAAGCCAAAACCAAACCACCAAACCCAGTGAGAATAATTCAGAGGGAGAGGAGAGGGCAAAGGGGACTACAGCACGAAGCTATTTGGATTCCTGATGAACCCTCTGTGTTCTTTTTATTTTGAGAGAGAGAGAGAGAGAGAGAGAGAGAGAGAGAGAGAGAGAGAGAGAGAGAGAGAGAGAGAAAGAGAGAGAGGAACATTGATCAGCTGCCTCCCCACACTCTCCATCTGGGGATCACACCTGCAACCTGCATATGTGCTCTGATGGGGAATCGAACCTGTCACCTTCTGGCGTATGGGATGATGCTCCAGTAAACTGAGCCCTCTGTGTTCTTTACCTGGGCAGAGGCAAATGTGCTGTCAAAGGTGCAGCCAGCCAGCACACCTCCATGTCATCTTCCCTACCTTCCCGCCTTAATTTCAAATGCATAAAAGAAACTGCAAAACTGCTATCCTCTGGAGCATCTGAGATCTTGCTCCCTGGCACGTGTAGTCAGCTTGGCTCAGAGAAACTCTCATAAAAATTCTCCGCAGATCTGGGCACTTCTCAACGCCCAATGTCTCAACAAATCCCCTCATTACACGCACACAGAAGTGCCCTTCTGCAGATTGCTAGCATAGAGACTTAGTGACGCTTGTGTCTGGTTCTAGGAAAATGGCTCAGCCTCACTGAGAATTACCTCACTCAGAATATTGTGAATTATATAATCTGAAAGCTGCTTAGAAATAAATAACCCAGCATCTTTATATACCAAACACAATTTTACCACACCTTTATCTACTGGTTTCTCTATCTACTTCCCTGTGAAGCAGACATTAAGTCCCCCTTCCTCCCTCTCTTTCTCTCTTTCTCTCTCTCTCTCTCTCTCTCTCTCTCTCTCTCTCTCTCTCTCTCTCTCTCTCTCTCTCTCTCTGTCTCTTCGCTCTCTCTCCATTGGAAGAGAATGAGACAGTTAATGATTACAGAGAAAGGCCCAGCACCCTGCCTTCTGCTAGTCTTTACAGATAGATGTTCTCCAATATCAATCTCACAGTGCAGAGCCACATAGTTGATTCACATGAAGAACTTGCTACATGGCATTTAAGAGAATTCCCTAGGGTGAAAGCACAATTATGATGCATTTTTTCTTTTCAAAGCATGCGTAGAGCTCAGGAGAGTACTGAGTCCGTTGTTTTCCTTAGAGGTAAGGCTGATAGTGGAAGAGAATGACAACCTTGTTGTTCAAAGCTTTCTCTGAGTTTGGGAGGCAGACTTAGCTCTGTATGTTTTTATGTATTTCAGTTTGATTCATACAAGACTTAAAGGGACGATCTAGGTCATCTAATGGTTTGTTTGTGTTCCTGTTTTCTTTGATCTCCATTCAATAAAGAAGAGGAAAGAATAAAAGTCTTTTTCGAATGAATAACCGTAGCTAATTTAAGCTCATTCCATTTGTTTAGGCTTTTTGCCTCCTGGTAAACAACAGTGAGGTACAACTAGTATATCAGAAAACTAACGCCTGAGAGCAAGGACATCCTGTGGTATCTGGTGCTTACTATCTGAGGTTCAAAGAGCTTTGCCTGACTGAGGAAAGGGGCAAGGACATGGATGAGGGCTGGAAAGAATCTCAAGGCAGACCTTGCTTTTGCAATATTGCCATTTAATCTAATGCAGTTAGATAACAAGTCATTTTCCTTTGAAGGTTTCATACATGTCTTTTTAGGAATTCTGGGTATTTTCAGTCGCCTGGGACTCCAACCTGCATTTTAAAAGCATTCTTTCCATGGGAAAATGGATGCTGAGTTCTAAATACAAGGCTCCCAAGTAGAGCTTTGGGACTCAGTTTTGTTGTCATGTTGTGAATTGTGTGCTGTCTGTCGGGTGTGGAGAACATGCAAGGCATGCTGGGAAACAGGGACCTGAATGCTCACTTGGGTGTTTTTTAAAGGTTGGGAATTTTCTTCTACTGAGCAGTGGAATAATTTGATTACACAAAGACAGCAAGATGGCTCCTTAGTAATAACTATGACAATAAAATTGCAACCATTTATTGAGTGCTGTGTAAGTTGTTTTATGTGCATTCATGTTCCAACCCTTATAACCCCCAAGCACAATTATTATGCTCTGTACTGCACAGATGGGAAACCTACAGGTCAGGGAGAATAAAACACTTGGCCCACCTTTGCACACTGAGTACCGTGATCTGACTCCCACGGCCTAGCTCTTCAGCATCAAGGGAAGAAGCAAACCTGTGCAGCCAAGTGTGGCTCATGGAGAGCGTTGGCATTTAAAATGCACAGCTTTGCTCCCTTCCATCAACAAAACCAAAATCCAATCAGAAAGGTGAAAGGTGTCATCATTTAGCTGGTCATAGACAAGGACACATTTAAATCCATCTACAGAGCACTCGTCTAAACAGCGTTCCACTTGATGATTACAGTAACCCGGCAGCGGCCATGTCACTGTTTTCCTCTGCCTATGACCAGAAAGCGGTGGTCAAGGGCATCAAGTCCACCTCCTGAGGGCAGGGCCTGCACCTTTCAATTTTTCAGAACCTTTTCAAGTGAACAGAGTTTGACGCATGCTGCCTCCTAAGGGTCAGTATGCTGCCCCGTGGTTCTAAGAATTGACTAAACGTAACGTCTTCGGTCTGGAGCGTCTTTGAAGAGAAGCCTTCCTTGGTTGTCCTCAGTGTCCTGTCAATATGATCCCTTTTGGCCACCTTGTAAGTTCCCAGTTAGAAACTACAATGCCTCACACAGTCTCTGGCCTCTGGCCTCGCCCCGCTTGTCACCTCCTCTCCTTCCCAGTCCTAAGCCCACAGGAGACACCCAACCACAAACCTGACTCTGAGGTAGGTCCTCCAGAAGTGGTGTCTAGAGGCAGCCACTGGGAGCCTGACTCACGGCTGGATGTGGCAAGAAACGGCACGTCACAGCCCACAGCAGAGTGCAGAAGAGGTTCAAGGCTAAAAGTTAATCTTTTAAAGGGGACACTATTCAGCTTTGGAAGTAAATGAGCAACTAGGCCAGAGCAAGGCTAATTTGGAAATGAACGTTTTGTGCTTTGCAAAGTGACCTCAGATGTCACTGAAGTTCATTACAAAAGGAAACTTCAAAATAAAAGTTACTTATTTACTTCCAAACCTGTATTTCCCCAATTGGTCCAAGATGGTTAGAAGGAGAGAGTGGGTGATTGCAACTGGAGAATTAAAAAGCCCCTGTGATGTCAAGGGAAGTTTGTCTGGGGAGGAGGGGGATGAGAGGGGAGAAGGAGCCACCTCCTGGGAGCCCCAGGCTGAGAGCCAAGGAACCCAGTCAGGAGGGTCCGAGGGCCATGCGGTGTAGGGCTCTCCTGGCCTGACAGAGATTAATTTTACATTTATTTTTTAATATAATTTATTTATTTTTTACAGAGAGGAAGAGAGAGAGAGAGTTAGAAACATTGATGAGAGAGAATCATCGATCAGCTGCCTCTTGCACACCCCCGACTGGGGATGTGCCTGCAACCAATGTACATGCCTTTGGCCGGAATCGAACCTGGAACCTTCCAGTCCTCAGGCCGATGCTCATTCCACTGAGCCAAACCGGTTTCGGCAAGATTAATTTTAAATCAGTGTTTTGGATTTCTTTAAATAAATACCCAGAAGTGAAGTTGCTGGGTCATACGGCAGTTCTATTTTTAGTTTTTTGAGGTATCTCCATACTGCTTTCACAGAGGCTGCACCAATCTGCATTCCCACCAGCAGTGTACCAGGGTTCCCTGTCCTCCCCATCCTCACAATAGTTGATTTAATCATGGTAGCCATTCTGACAGGTGTGAGGGGATATCTTATTATGTTTTTAATTAGCCTTTCTCTGATAATTGGTGAGGTCGACCATCTTTTCATATGTCTATTGGCCATAAGTATGCCCTCTCTGGAGAAGTGTCTATGCAGGTCTCCTGCTTATTTTTTTTTTAAATAGGATTGTGGTTTTGCTATGAAGTTGTATGAATTCCTTACATAGTGTGGATAGTAACCCCTCATGAGATGTATTATTAGTGAATATCTTCTCTCATTCTGCAGGTTGTCCTTTTGTTTTGTTGACAGTTTCCAGTATTGTACAAAGACTTTTCAGTTTGATGTAGTTCAATTTGTTTGTTTCCCTTGGGGAGACATATCCAAAAAATATTCTAATTGCCTATGTTTTCCTCTAGGAGTTTTATGGTTTCAGGTTTTCCATTTAGTCTGTAATCCATTTTGAGTTTATTTTTGTACCAGAATCCCGGTGCATGAAATTCATGCATGGGGTGGGGGGATGTCCTTCAGCCCGGCCTGCACCCTCTCCAATCTTGGATCCCCTCTTAGGATGTCTGGCTGCCCTGGGATCAGGCCTAAGCCGGCAGTTGGACATCCCTCTCACAATCTGGGATTGCTGGCTCCTAACCACTGCCTGCCTGCCCCTAACCACTCCCCTGCCAGCCTAATTGATGCCTAACTGCTCCCATGATGATGTAATTGACACCTAATGGCTCCCTTGCTGGCCCGATTGCCCCTAACTGCCCTCCCCTGCTGATCCGATCACCCCCAACTGCCCTCCACTGCCAGCTGTCTTGTGGTGGCCATCTTGTGATGACGTGGGGCAGCCATCTGTGATGAGGGCGTGAGGGTCAATTTGCATATCACCTGTTTATTATATAGGATAATATGGTATAAGAAAGTGGTCTAGTTTCATTGTTTGGCATGTTACTGTCCAGTTTCCCCAAGACCACTTATTGAATAGACTGTCTGTATCCCACTGTATATTCTTGCCTTCTTTGTCATAAATTGGCCATATAGGCATGGATTTATTTCTGGGCTCTCTATTCTATTCCATTGATCTATGTATCTGTTTTTCTGCCAGGACCATGCTGTTTGGCTATTACCACCTTGTAGCATACTTTGATATCAGGTAGCAAGACACCTCCAACTTGGTTCTTCTTTCTCGAGATTGCTTTGGCTATTTGGGGTCTTTTGGAACCA